CTTTTGAAGGCTGGCCGACGGCGCTTTCGAAACGCCTAAAGAGTGACATGCACCGGCTTTGGCAGGCAAGTGCAGGCATGCGGCCAAAGTCGGCTTTGGCAGGCAAGGCTGCGGTGCACCGGCTTTGGCGGGCAAGGCTGCGGTGCAGGCATGCGGCATGCGGCCACAGTCGTTGGTGATGGCTTCTCGCTGCGCTGTCCCAGGCGCCGCCCCGCTTAGGCCAAGGCTAAGCAGGGGTCGGCAGATAATGCCGTACCAAGCAATTCGCGCCGGCGCAGCGCAGGGTATTCAAGCAGTGGCGGACTTCATTGAGACTGAAACAAGTCCAGAGGAAGTCTTGCATGCCATGGCTTCTGTGATCCTCACACGCAACCGACACAGCATCTTTGACCGCAAGATGTGAGGCTTGGTCAGTTTCGTGGGTGTGATTGTTGGGCATCCACTCCTGAGCCTCGGAGTCAGAGCAGCATTGCCCTCCCATGAAAAGGTTGCAGCAGTAGCTTCTAGCATTTTTTTGAGCTTTGGCACTGCTGTGCGAAGGTCGATATCTTCATTCCATGCTGGCTGGCTTCTCCCGGCTCCCCACGGAAGAGCAACGCCACGCTAGGGAGATCCGCAGGCAATCCGATCTTTTGATGGACATCTACAGTACCTCTACGCAAACTTTCTGTGCCGGACGAGCCCCGACTTGAAGGGATTGTCTGTAAAGCCTCGATGGAGGATCAGATGCAGATTGTCAAGCTTGAAGCGTCTTAAGCAGCTGTAAATTGTACAGTCGTTTTGCAATCAACAATCAAACCTAGATTCAAAACACCTGAAACCTGGGTCTATTTGGCTGCAAACTTCAGGAGCAAGATTTCTTTTGGTCGTTTAAGTATTTTTATATCCGTTGCACTCTTGCTGCCAGTGCTGAGCTGGAGCTGAAAGCCCTGGTCGAGCATTCAAAGACAATGCTGCTGTTTCTTTGCTGCAAGTTCGGGGCACCACAAATTGTGGTGATGGTTCGGGCCGGGGGTAGGTGACCCAGAGTTTCATAGGTAAAACATGGTCACAGATTGAGATGACATGCCAGAACTGGGCCAGAACATGATAAAAAGACACCTGAGTGCTGGTACTGAGTCACTTCGAACTCTCAACAGACTCCTGGCTCCACAACTCTTGAAGGAGGCCCCCCCTAAGGAAGGATGTGTCACTCCTTGGATTCTGCAGATTGAAGGTCTAGACACACGGGCAGCTGGTTTTAACAAGAACACGCACACACACACACACACTTATTGAATTGCGTACACATGTTGTGGTTCCCCTGCTAAGAAAAAATCAAAACAGTCCAAAAGGAACCTCATGACTCCAGAGGGGACACGCACACACACACACACTCTATGGCTGCAAGGTCCGTGCAGCTTTAGATTAGGCATTTGCAGCCAAATTCTGACCTAAGCTGGGCACCTTCTACTGAAAGCCAGGGTGCCATTCTTCAACATGCCACAGACGCCTAAGGCCCGAACGGATCACTGAGAGGGCCAAGTTGGAGTCGGCCATCCTGAAAGGAGCACAGAGGGCAGTCTCTTGTGAGAAGTTCAGACCTTATGTTCACATTCAGAAGGCCAAAAGACATCAATCGTGCAGATTACGCAATTGCTGGTGTGCCTGAGCGCTAGGAAGTGACTTGAACTTCCTCATCAAGAAGCAAGCTGCTCGTGTCAAAACCAAGACCAAGAAGAAGGCCGCACCAACCGATCGAGATTGCGCGATGCCACTATCTTCTCGTTTCGCACCAACTTGTAAAGAAGACCCAGACCATCGTTTCTCTGCGCTGAGTGTTGGTGCACCTGACCGGTTGAATGTTAGCATGTTGCTGGGAGCTAGAATAGTCTCTCGAAAGCATGGTTGCAGGTGACAAGGTGTTGCGTTCTAAGGAGCACAAGCAGCATTTGCACATTTTCGCTGTGTTCTCACAGGTTGTCAGATACAATCTGGAGCAGTTGCTCTCATCTGAGAAGGTAGGCTTTCCGCATTGCCGGCCACTGTGAGAAACAGTGTTTCGTTCCTGCAACTGTTTTGATGCATGACTCCTTGTTTTGAGGCAACGGCCAATTGGATCTAACACAAAGGAACCCATTAGGTTTCTTTTTCGACCCTTTGATGAAAGCGTCTGGATTGCCGAGAAGCATTTGTCAAGTGAATTGGGAGGGTTGGTCAGTTAGTCCCCTAACAAAACCAAATGAACACATGCCCTGTGCGGGTGGACCTGGAGCTGCCAGGTATTGGAGTGCTACAGCCTGTTGGACACTGTGCAAGGCGGCTTTGCTGCTGTGTTTGTGGTGCCAAAAGAGAGCCATCGAACTTGTTTGTTGGAAGCCTGCTTCAGGGGAGCCTTTCCGATACAAAGTTTGCCATTACAGCATACTGCGCATGAATTTGTTTGGCACATTCTGTTAGGTCAATCATGATTGACTGACACTTGCCACAGATTTTGCATCCAGGGAAAGTCTACGTGACCTTTTGGTCTGATGATGCAGATATTATGGTTCATGTGCCTCAGCGGAACTTCCGGTCTCGTTCTCCTTCGGAGACAGAAACCTACCCATCCTAAATTCGATGGGTTAACATTGGCTAGCCAGGTTTGCTAACACTTACTGACTTAGGGGCTCCTGGCATCGCTACTAGGAGCAAGGACGGTGTATGTGGTGATCAGACCTGGTGCACGTGGCAACGTCCTAGTCTTGACCGAGGTGGGCCTCCTGGAAGAATCAGATGCCAGGTTGGAGTTTGTGAAGCAGTTCATCATCCCGGAAGATGTGGTCAAGTACTTGAGTCGCTGAAGTTTTCGCTTTTGGAGGGACAACTATGTGAGCGTAGTAGTTTCCAAGAGAAGCTTCCTCAGATTTCAGACCGGTCTTTGGGGACCTTCCAATTGGGAAAGAAGATGAGTAACGACCGTGGCTGCCTTTGGACCTTTGCTTCACGGAGGACAATTGAGAGTTATTTATATATATATATATATTTAATAGTTTGGAAAAATATCACGAAAGCCAGCCGGTAGGCAGGGCTTGAGGTTGTTGGAGCGAACGAAGTGAGTAAAGGGGACGTGTGGGGGGGTTGTTGCGTGGTGGCCAATTCCGGAGAGGTGAACCCAGAGCCTGGTGGGGGAGAGCGACAAAAAGAGGCGGGCCACTTGGTATTGAAAAATGAGTGGTTGGAGGGGTGTTGTGATGCCGGTGATGTAATTGACGGCGAAGAGTGCATCATCAGCGTCACGAGGGGCTCATGAGGCCATGGAAAGAGAACATATATATATATGTATATACACAGTACTGACAGGCTTGGCCAACCGGCGACGCCCCTGGGGGGACTTCGCGTATCCGCAGGCTCTTTGCGCAGCAAAATCCGACGATTAGCGCAGCCTCTTACGCCTGCGCGTGCACTCCCACACAGGTGTGCGCGCGAGGGTCTGATGGAAAAAGCTTGGCAACCTCAGCTTCAGACACCGGTTTGCGCCAACTGTAAATGATAATGACTTCACAAATTTCGACCTAGAAAAAACATGTCGCAAGTTGCAAGAACTGCGTAAATATTAGCGTTTTTTGGGGCGTGGTGCGCGAAGTGCTGAACATATCGCGTTTTTCGAGAACACCTCGTAAATAAAGTGGCTTTGAGCACGCGATAGCTCAAAAACATCGGTATTTACGTTGTTTCCTGGCGTAAAACACAAAAAACTACGCAATTAGCGTGGTTTTGGGACACTTTTGAAGCCTTGAGCAGCAAAAACCATTGATATTTACTGTGTTTTCAATCTTTTTGGTCAATTTTAAAAAGGCCTCTCCACCACCAACCCGGGGGATTTTGCCTGGTCTCTTTTTGTTTGCGCGCCACGCGCGCGCGCGCGCGACACATGCGAAAGGAACAACGACCACAGCGAACATGCACCCAACCGGCATCGCTGGTCTGCGAAGCCTTAGAATAACAAGCTAGCTTGATAGGGGTGACGGAATGGCGTCGCTGGAGAGACTGGGCTATCGCCCGCGTGCCGCCGACCCCTATTTTTGTCAAATCACATCATCAAAATTGAAAAGACCATGCCAGTCACATGACCCCAAAAATCATTATTTTAATGTTTTTGAAGGCATGGCTCCAACAGGATCAATCATTCTTTTGCCTTCTGTGAAACTTTTCACTGCACACCTGAGAAGAATATAGCTGCGCACTTGAAGGCTTGTACTATGGAGCAGCTGGACTATTTGGATGACTGCCAGTGAATCCTCCCCCAAAGGCTGTACACGCACCGAAGGTCTGATCTGTGAAATCACATGAAACCACATGAAAATTACTCAGAAAGCAAGGTTATTGGGGTCCTTCAGCAGTTTGTTCCACCCGGTCGGGTCGTCGCGGAAAGGGCAGCCGCGCTGCCGGATTTGGGTGTTCGGGGCACCGCTGCCGAATCCGGTGGGTGGGGACGATCACAGAGTGGACAACAGGAGTTCAGAGCCAAGACAGGCAGCTTCGAAGCTGAGTAAAAGAAGGATTAGCAAGCTTCAAAGCTGAGTGAAAGGTTTGCAAGCCCACAGCCAGAGGCGTGGCAGGCTCCCACGCATGTTGACAAGATCAAACCCCCGCAAGAAACTTTTGCTTCGGGAGCGGCCCAGCTTAGGCCAGGTTAAGCCGTGGTCGGGCGATATAGACTGTATATAGTAAGTAGCAGCCTTGGGCAATATTTCCGTTTCTCCAGAGTTTTGGTCATCCGCATGTTGACCGCTTCGGCTGCTTCGTATATTTCCAGGGCCTGGGAGCTTGCTTGCCTGTAGACCGCCTCTATGTTCCTGTGTGCCCCAACCCAGGCAGCTTCCTTTTGCAGACAGAGAAGACACCCTTGGCCTTCCACTGGAAGGTGCCAGCTTGTGCAATGTACTTTCAAAAGCGGTGGCCATTTCTCAATCAAGGTATATATAAATTGCAGCCAACACGCAGAATGCAGATGTCGGAGCAGATACCGTCTTCATTAAGATATACTGGCATTGGTGCCTGTTTGTGCATGCACAGTTTCCCTTTTTTTTATGCTTTTGCACCCTTCTTACCTTCTCAATGCGTGATGTTGAGTGTCACTCCTGACACGGGCATCAACTTGTGAGCCAGGCCCCATCATCCTCAAGTGGCGAAGCTTGGAGCTGTCCAAGTTGCTGAAGGACGTGCCACCAGCAGATTGACACGCATGGAGGCCTGGAAAGTCATGCATGGAGATTTTGCCTTTGAATCTTGTTGAAAGAGCATCAACAAAACATAAACAGTGCATGCAGGCCTATCCAGTGGGGCGCCTGAAGATTGTAAAAAGTACTTAATGAGGATACGCAGCCTTTGCCAACTACTAGTTTAGTTTGGCGAAACACACCAGGATCAGGAGACTTGGAAAGACATGCTATATAGATTGACAAAAGCTGCCGCGTATTTGTACAAAGCTCCAAGTGATAACGACCCCCAGATGATGCCCTGGCAAATGCCAACATCGTTTGATGTCGGAGAGGGCCAAAGTGCCCCTTCATCGGAAGATACTAGAGGCTGTTAGAAGCCAAGGGAAGAGTCCAAAGAGACAAGGTTCCATGAAGGAATCGTGTGGAACCAAAGATCAAACAGAAGGTTTTTGCGCAAGGCAAGTCTGCCAACCTGGAATGTGGGCAGGCTCAAGCGAAACCATCAGAAGCTCATAGATGGGAAGACAAGGATCTGCTGCGGCCGCCAAGGTACCATGCTCGTTGCATCTTCAACACCTTTTCTCGAGCTCGCAAGGTGGGATACTTGACAAACAGCACTCTGAGCTACTACTGTAACTACTTCTGATCTAGATCTTGGTTGATGATAGGGAGCTCTCAGGGTAGCGGCTACCAGTGAAAACTTGGGGAACCTTTCAACAAATTATGGGATTTGGGAAACATTGGGTATAAAGAACGAAAGCACATGTTCCTTCTGCCATGCCAATCTTGATGCTGGACCACTAGGTTGTCTGTGGTGTGTCCCTCTCCATGCGATGCCAAGCAAAGCCTGTTGCCAGACCACTCGCGTCATTCAGTCGACAGATGACCTGGAAGGCTTTGAAGCCATCCGATCTGAGGAGACTTGGGAAATCTGGAAAAGTGAAGCGGGGGAAGATGGTGTTACTCTTGTTTTTCATATGATTTCAGTGCAACTCAAAGATCTTAAAGGTTCAAGCTAAGTATATACATGATCTGAGTCTGGTCGAAGCGAAGAGATTTTCAAAACTGACACTGTCACCAATCCTGCCATCCGTGCGGGACCTCGAATTGCTTCCCTTAGCTTGTTATCAGCCGCTTTCAATCGGGTGCGAAGTAGCTACATAGCATCACTCTCCGAAGGCTGTCAGTGACCACCAGAGGTGGTCAGTGCTTTACACGACTGAGGACCAGGATCTGCTGAGGCGCATCATTGGTGGCTTGGAGGAGGGAAACGAGAATGGGGACGGGGACGCAGGAAATGTGGATAGACCGGATCGGTGGGATCAGCCCGCAGGATGTCCGCCAAGTGCAGTTTGGCCTCGGAGAAAGCACTGGCCAGCGGAAACGAGGTGCTCCCTTGCAACTGGGCGCTCCACTACTTTCATGGTTGCTGTTGGAGTCAACACTTGAGACAATTGTATGAAAGGTCACAGGCTTGTAAGACCGAGTGAATTTTGTGCAAAAGGCGCTTCCTCAGAAACTCACAGAAGCATAGGTGACTTGTTTGCATGATGCATGCTCGCATGCTTTGCAGGTGCTGAAGACGACCCTGCAGCTGTTGCGGCCAAGAGGACGCTTTCGGGTTTGAACTGTACATAATTGCCAGCGAACACGGAGGGCAGGACGCGGTCCAGAAAGTACAAGCAACTGTTAGGAAGAAACCCACCTTTGGTCTTAGTCAGCGTAGGCTGTCCAGATGCCCCACAGAGTTGCATGTATACACGGAGCAAGACAGGATCCTAGAGATACGGTGATGATCACTGATGCAATCTGATGCACTTGATGGGGCCGGATTAAACATCTTGCAGGCGGCGGGAAGAGGAAAAGTTGAAGGAGCAGATTGACATACGCAAGGCAGGACATGAAGCATCACTGTTGGCCTCTGCATCAGCTCGACCTTTCTTCAAAGGTTCACCTAGTGCGTTGTCAACGACTGCATTCACAAAAGATATCACACATTTTCATTGTCAAAGTTTGAAACACCTAGCATCACCTAGCTGCCTTTACTCGGTGTTTGCAGGGAAATCGATGCTGGGCACACTGCCTTGTGCGGTTTACAGACAGGCATGTGGGCCGATTTCAACTAGAATTCAGAAGCAAGCTTTCAAGAGAGTGCATGCCTTAAACGAGCACAGGGAGACTTTGCGCACCAAAGTCTTTTATCCCTGCCAGAGAATTTGGCCAGCAGCGGTTGCATGAAAGATGTGATCCAATGCCATTGATCCACGCACAGGTTGTTTGCCTCAGAGCCTCATTGCATTTATGATGATGCCAGGGATGGGAGCCTTCGAGCGAAGAAGAGTGACAAGCCTGAGCTGGGGATGATCGTGAAAGAGGCGCTCCACCATCGATTTTATGAGGGGCTACTAATTGGTTGTACATTTAAAGAGGCATGTGAGCAAGTATACCTAACCCCTTTTGGCTGAGCTAAGGACTTTTGCCCGCCTTGAAAACGCTCTGTTGATCTGTTGGCACTTGTAGTTTTGAGTCTGAGATTTTGCTTTAGCGTCCAGTTCTGAGTCTACTTTGAGTTTGGGAACACCTCGTTTCGCCATGACACGTGCTCAGGAAGAAGGGGGATACGTCCAGATCCAGTTCGAGAGCAAAGAGGTCCTTGAACCTGGGAGGGGCGCGCGGTAAATGACACCAACGTTTCGGCCTCCAAGTGCTTGAGATTGAACATTCCAGCTTTCGGGCTTCCACTAGGGCCACAAAACGCAAACAAAAAGACAGGGCTGTTCTAATACAAACTCTGCAAATATAGGGTTGCTAGAGGATGCGCACTGTCTTAAATAGATGATCCCCGCACAGCCTTCTCATTGGGGACAATCGCAGCCTCACGTGCTGCACAGCACGAGACGGAGCGCTTGGAGATGATGAAGAAGAAGAGGCCTGGTGTTGCAGTCTAGCTCTGTAATCAAGGATGCGAAATGAACGACGGTGGCAGTTGAGCTATGGTAAAGCTTCACCATGCTGAACTTCTTATCATCTCATCTTAGTAGATAATGGCAAGAGTTGTGTTGGGCAATGGCAGCCATACATGACCAACCATCAAATAGTTAGTTTTGTGAAAAAAACAAAAGCAAATAAACATGCAAAAGCAGCGCAATTTGCTTTGTTTTTGCATTTGTTTTGCTTTTTCTATTTTTTTTTGCTTTTTTCCTGGTACCACTTCTTGCTTGCCGCAAGAGGTGAGTTTGATTTCAATACACCCGTGAATTAACTCTCAAGCAAGATGATTATTTTATCGTCGTCTTGAAACTTCAAAGACTGCAATTCACTTACCGGCTTATTGCCACCTGCCACGGAGAGAAAACATCCCGACAACCGTTGTGAGGTATGGACGCATCAAAGGCTGGCTGAGGCGAGGCAATTACAGCAAGAAGTTGCCTGTTTCTACAGGCTTATCGAACTGGAACTGTCTCCCAATTTCCGGATAGAACATATTATTTACAGTGATCGCTCGAAATGATCAACCAAGTCTTTTCATTGCCTCAGCTTCATGGGGTTGTTAACTCCGAGTGCCGAAGCAGGTATCCTCGATTCTTCGAGGGCCAGATTCAGAAGGTGGGTCGAAGACACCGGAACAGCACTGTTGCACACTGTTGCACTTGAGCGATACTTCTCGAGAAATTGAGTCAATGGTTTGACTGTATTGTTCACCCCAATATACCCAACCCAGCCAAGGGCTCCTCTGAGAGTTCGCTCTGCCAAAACTGTCAAGATGCACATTTGCTTGAGATTATGGAGTTTAGGACCAATGTTCTCCCAGGTTGATCCAAAGTGGATCCAGAAGACGCGGCCTCCACCGCGACTCTGTAGCTGTGTGCAGCAGGACATGAACAGTATATGTCATTTTTTTTGGGTCATGAACATGGTTATTCAATAACATTTGCTGTGGCTCTTGGCTTTGTGCAGCTGTAAAGTCTTGTATGTGAATACATTCAAGAAAGGTGTATGTATGCAGTTTAATACACACTCCTAAACACTGACAGATTAGAGAATTGTTTTAGTCACAGTCAAACCATCCAAATCACCCAGCAAAATCAACCCAACTTAGGGCATTTGCCTTTTCGGTCTTGACTCCTCTAGGTTTTGAGGCGTCAAGGCAACTCTGCTGAACTATATAGACTTTTTGGACTACCTGTCACAACATTTCTGCTTATTTTTTTGTCACCGGACAGATGCAAGCAACTCCTGGAACTGCGCCTTGCTGTCTTTCGCAGGAATGGAACCATCGCTGTGACTGTGGCATCACTTGTACCAGGGGAACTACTGTGAAAGTCTGGGGTGTAGGCCAATGAGTTCAGGACTGGGGCCCCGTCCAGATCTATGCTGAAAAGACCCTCCCCGACAGCATTGGGGTCCTTGTCGCGCTTGACCTGGTGGTCCAGCGGCGCCACTTCGGTGGTCGCAGATGTTTCACGGCGAGCAGAGCGAGCAGAGTAATTTAGGAGACACTGTGGTCGCACAGTGTGGATTGCTCCACGGGGATTGAAACTCATATTGAAACCTTCCAGAGAGAATGTAATTATGCCTTCCGTGCTTAGTCTTTTGGGGTTGAAAACAGGTAGGACCAGGACCTACTAGGCACTTGATGGTACTTGAGATACTTGTGGTGCGAATCCGGGGTCTCGTGCGTGGGCGTGCGTTGGGGAGTAACGCAAAGGGGAAGTTTCGCCTGCGCAAAAATAGACCGGCGACATGCTCGAGGGTCGTTCCCCTGAGGTTTTTAGATGCACTTGTTACTACTAGCTTCTTGTTACTACTAGTAAGGCACTTGTTACTAGTAGCGATGCACTTGTTCCTGGTAGCTTCCTTTTCTGGAAGTTGTATCTCTTTTTCTCAGTTTGATCCGCTTCCAAATCATGAGGCGTCTTAGTGTCTGATTGCCTCCTGAGATTGTTTGTGGTTGTTCCAATCAGCTTTGCTTTGCCTCCAAAGCTTGTTTCGTCTATTGAACTCTGTTGCCCCAATTTCCTTAGCACTCTGACTTCCCCAACCAGAGCAAACCGAAGCCCCTTTGGCTCCAGCCTAACTGCGCACTGCGGGGGGGAGTTGCAACGTGCGGTTGGACGAGCCGAACAGTCGCTGTCGCCGTCCGCGGGGCGGTTTTTGGCACGGAAGCCCAATGAGTTTTCGGGGTGGCAGTGGAACAAGGCAAGCAGTGGAGCATAGCAAATAAGTCAAGGAGGATGTACGTAGGCCCTGAAGCCCCTTTCAGGGCTTTGTCAGAATAATAAGTGAGCCAGTCAGCCAGCCTGTTCCATCTCAAATTTCCTGCTCCGGTGCTCGTTGAACTTGTGAAGCCGAGGTCTCTCCTAGGGTCATGTCAGCGCCTGTGGGGCAGCTGGCGGTCGATGAATATGGTGACTTGGCGAAGCTGCGAATCATTCAAAGAGTTTCGTTTCTGATCCCTGAGCATCAAAGGATTTATGTTCAGTGGGGTGGACCAAAGGCTTTCCAGCCCTACACCACGCTTGGTGTTCAATTTTCTATTGCTGGAAGGACGACCAAAGACGCTGAACAGTCTTTTTCTAGAGATTGCTGAGGCAATCCATTCATCATTTTGGAGGTGCGGCGCTTTGATTGGATCTTGTTTGAGCGATTCAAACAGCATGACATGTGCAATACCGCTTTGAGCGATGTCGCCGGGACCAGCCAAGGTGCCCAGAATCTCAGGTCGGTATCAGTATTTTCTTATGCAACTAGAAACAATTAAGCTACTAGGAACAAGTGCATCGCTTCTAGCAACAAGTGCCTTACTAGTAGTAACAAGAAGCTATTAGAAACAAGAATTCTGTATGCTGAAAGGTATGCCACCTTGCGTGCCTCACTCTCTTTCCCGATCTCTTGGCTCAAGGGGTCGGCCTGCTCCGTACTACGCTGGAAGGTGCCTTCCCGCCAGGTGGTTTACTGATCCACAGCATAGGTTTGTCAACCGGTTGTGCTTGTGCTATGAACATCGTGAACTTTCAAGACAAACTTCAACCAGGTCTTCATTGCACAACATGCTAATTCTGGGAGGCCCTGGGTGTCGATATTCATTTGTGGACTGCATGATGATATTGTATGTACAGTCACCAAACTGAAGGAGACAATGGCGAGATCTCAGAGCTCATTCCACGTTTCTCAACGTTTGATATGTTTTGACACTCCTGCCAAGTGTCACGAGGTGACCAGCAATGCAAAAAGAAGGGGTCGCAAGGAACACCTAGAAGTGATGGACGAGGCTCCAGACGAAGCTCCCGAAGAACAGGAGGCACCGAAGTAGGGTCAACAAAGAGTTATAATTACCCATTGCTTTGGGATGTTGGAGTACCAAGATTTCAGGATCATGTTTCTTCGTAAGACGAGCACTGCAAGCCATTTCATTCAGCCGTTGGGGTGCATCAGTTGAAGGTTTGAGAGGGGTCTCAGCCTGTGAGGCTTTTGGTGAAGAGGCTGAGGCAGAGGAAGAGATGGCGGACGAGGCTGGCGAAGAGCCTGGCGAAGAGCCTGCAGAGGGCGAAGAGATGGACGAACCTCCCGAAGATGTGGAGGAGATGCCGGACGAGGAGGAGCCGCCTGCTGTGCCTGAAGAATTTGATCCTAGGCAGCGGCTGTCATATTTCTTTTCATCTTCAAGAGCAGAGCACTTACGTACCCATTTTTGATTTTCATGAAGCGACTGAGAAGTGTAAAACATCCCTGGCTTTTGAGCCAATGGGCACAACTGGCCAAGGAAGAGCTTCAAGAGATTGACGCGGAGGCTGCAGAGGCTGAAGCCGAGGCGGAGGCTGTGGAGGCCGAGGCCGAGACGGAAGCAGTGGAGGGGGGAGGAAAAGCCCAAGCAGCCTCCTTTCTGGGTACGGAGAGCCTTCTGGAAAGTTCGCGTCTTGGCTTTCCGTGGTCCACCATCGTGTCAGAATGGAAAGCCGCCCATGCAAAGGGTGAACGGGGGAGAATGAAGTGGCTCCAATTGCTGGTGAGCACGAGCGCTGGTGCAGTCGCTACTCCTGTTTGTGTTGTTACAACAATTGCTTTGCCTTTGAGCACCGATTCGTAGGGAAGCAAAGATCAAAGCTGCTAGACTGTCATGATCAGCGAGTGACGCTACTCGAGAACCAGCGCATCGAGTGCAACGTACTATTATTATTACTACTACTACTACCACCACAACTACAACTTCAATATCAACAACAACAACAACGACAACTACTACTACTACTACTGCTACTACTACCGTGCCAAATCTAGCGCGCATAGCCGTGCCGCCCGCCGAGCGTAAAGCGCAGCGCACCGCGTGCAGCGTGCCGAGTGCATCACAGCTCGCCGAATGAGTTGGGTCGTGTGGAGTTGGGTGGTGTGTGTTGGTCGGTGGAGGGGAGTGGGTGTAGGGACCTGCTGTGTCGGGAGCTAGTCGGAGCCCTCGTGAAACGAGCCCATGAAGGTCTCGGTCATTCCGGGAAAGATAGGTTTTTTCCGAATCTTGAAATACAGCAGAGCATCCGAGCAAGTCCTGAAGATTGACAAGGAAATGAAATGTTCGGTATGCGAAAGATTCAAGAGATTACGACCCTCTCGAGTGGTCCGTGCTCCTCCTCCAGAAGTGCATCGCAGAGCGCTCGGTGCAGCGCACCCAGTTCAGCGCACCGAGTGCATCGCAGCGCACCGAGTGCAGCGCGGCGCATCGAGTGCAGCGCGCCGAGTGCATCACAGCGCACCGAGTGCAACACCCCGAGTGCAACGCACCGAGTGCAACGCACCGAGTGCATCGCACCGAGTGCAACACAGCGCACCCAGTGCAGCGCACCGAGTGCAGGCCAACCCGAAAACACCACATTACACCAGCTACACCGATATTTCACACCCCAAACCGGTCTCGTTCTCTCACTTGATGAGTCTCCTCACTTGGGTATCCGGTTTTGGGAAATCAAAGTGCTGATCGAAGCCTAGGAGAAGGCAGATACTTCTTGAGGCTTCGGCAGAAGGTGCGGACGCCAGAGGACGCACAAATTTTCTGTGATGAGTTGGGTCGCAGGATTGAGGAGGCCGGGAGAGAGCTACTAAAGCATGCAGCATGGCAAGCGAATGAAAGTGTACTTGACGGCGCTGGTTAGATGGCGATACAAACTCATTGACTCAGTGCGTCTAAACCGCGCAGGCGAAAGAGAAAGGTGAAAGGATGACGTTCGAAGACTTTGACATTGCGCAGAAGCTTTGCAAGCTTAGCAAGCAAACAATAAGGAAGCAAAGAGAGACGAACAAACAAAGATAAGGCTCTTCAAAGGAGGAACATTCCTTCCTTTTTTGGTCTCCTTGGACGCTACTAGTAACAAAGGGCATCGCTACTAGGAGCAAGGACGCTACTAGGGGCTCCTGGCCTTACTACTAGGAACAAGAAGCTACTAGTAACGAGGGCACTACCAATTTGCAATCATTGTCCCTTCCCGGGCGGTCCGAACTTGGAAGCCTCCAACGAAACAGGGTTTCATACTTTCAGCTTTGAGAAGGAGAAGGCTATGTAATGAATATAGAACAGTCAAAAAGAAACTACTAGGTGGAGGCCATCGCTAGTAGGTTGGAGGCCATTACTGGTAGTATAGATGGGGTCTGTCCTATTACCTGTAACAGTCAGTAAACAGTTATTTCTATTTTTGGACAAGGCCTTTACTAACCATCATCATCCACTGTTACAGGTAATAGGATAGACCCAAAGTATATAGCTAGAAGCTACTAAACGGCTTGAAGATGGCACCACTTTTCACGCCCTATGGTGGCCGTCAAGTTCTGTTTTAGTGGTAGGCGGGACATGGTTTCAACAACAGCAGGGATGCAGAGAGCTCCTTAGTCGATGTAAGGACCTTCATCCCCAGCGAGCATTTAGAGACCATGTTTTCGCTCCTCTCGGATGCTTGGAAGCAAGTAGCTCTGCCAGTTGAGTTTCATTGGGGCATATTGTGGCGATTTCTGCGCTGGTGAAGAGAGACGTTAATAGGAAGAACAAACAAGAAGCCACTAGGGGCTCCTGGCATCGCTACTAGTAGCAAGAAGCTACTAGTAACAAAGGGCATCGCTACTAGGAGCAAGGACGCTACCATGCGATTTCTGCACTGAATGATGATTTCTGCACTGGTGAAGAGTGACGTGAATCCGTTCATCATGAGATTGGCAAACTATGCACAATGGAGCACTGCCCGCGAGGATGGCAATGTGCAGATCGAACGGCTTCGGGCTTTTGGAATCCCAACCTTAGATGATGCTGGAGCAGTGATGCTTTCTGGTTGGCTTCAAGGCGAGGAAAGCGAGGAATGTCTAAGTATAGCCCAGGAGTGCTAGAGCTTTCGGACGCTAGAGCAAGTGGAAATTCTACATCAGGGAGAACAAAAAAGCAAAGTATGCCTGGACAGGTTGTTGTCAGCAGAGTGAAATGAGTTAAGGGCCCAAGGGCCCCTTGAATATCTTGAATAAGGTCATCCGGAGGGATGGACCGATCCTTCTGAGAGTTGTCCCATGCTCAGGAGTCGTCCCTGAGACGGTACCTCATGAACTTCATTTGAGTGACTGCGCCATAACGGCCGTGGGCTTTAGGGCGATCATGGAACCTTGGATTATCTCTGACTGCACGAAGGCAGAAGGACATTCGGACGAACTCCCTTGACTTGTGTGGACAACCTGACTCCATTTTGCGAGTTCTAGTCGATTGCTCGGGATGAAGAGATGCATTGTAACACATTGCCCATGCTGTTTCAGGCCTTGTAACAGAAAAGCTTTCCGTTTCAGCAAAGAGTTTCGTAAGAAAGCTTGGATTATTGATTAGGATGAGATGTTGATGAGGATGGCAGTGATGAATATCAGGACACTGTTGGTTGTAGTGATGATGATGACGATGCAGCCGCCGACGACGGCGATGACGATGACCATGACCATGACGACGACGATGACGACGACATTAAGTTTTGATGAGAAAGCCCCGAGTTAAGAACAGTTGCAGCCAAGAGTTCTTACTGGCCAAACGGTTAGCTTAGATCGCAAAATCCTCACCCTCATCGCCTTGGGGCTGTTGAAGCACAATTCAATTCAAAAAGGAGTGCTAACAGGTGCTAACAAGGCACCCTTTCAAGGGGGGGCCTCATCAAAGGGACCCACGCACCTTCAAATGTTCTTCTCTTTTGTCTTCCTGTGGCCGGACTGGGGTCGGTAGAGACCGGTTCCGCTGCTTTCGTAGGTGTCTTTTTCCGCTGTGCCATGGAAGCTGGGGGTCCGAAACACATTGTATCGGAGGAAAGGAAACGTTGGCAAGGCAGGAGCTACTGGTGAATGAACGTGTTGGTGCATTAGGAGAAGCATGCTGTGCTTAGGTTTGGTGCAGCAGAGAACCGCCAAAAAAATGCGTTTGCTTCATCACAAAGCATTTCACTCTGCACCACGTCAGACCAGCATTCACGACACAAACACATCTGCCCAGTGGAGGTCGAGAGCCTGATGATAAGCTTCTCCACACTGAACATAATCAAAACAAATGCTTTTGCATCATGAATCATGATACAGTCTTTTTGCTTTTTCCTCCTGGATGCGACTTGCAGACCTTGGTGTTCAATCTTAAGCCTCAATGCGCTCTAAGGACGCTTTGAATGAAAACCAGACCTTCCCAGCAGACGATCCGAAGAAACCCGAAGAAGGAAAGTTAGCCTTGTATTTGAGAATAGAAGGCAACTATATTGAAACGAGCGTCATCCAGGACAGAAAGGGTCGGGGAGAGAGAAGGTTTCGATTCTAATCTCCTTGAGGCCGCATGCTCGACACGGATGTCAGAATACGATTCTGGGGGTCTTTTCTCGTGAGATGACGAGTTTGATTGGAGAGATCCTGGCAGATTTGCAATAAAATGTGAGGCTCACTGGTGGCAAGAAGAGCTTTCAAGACAGGGCCTAGTGTGGTCAGCACCACTGGAACCAAAATGGACACATACCGGGTTTGGCAAGCTGTCCAATGAAGATCCCACAGTACGCAGAGTGACTAGGGTTTGACCTGCAACAGCGATCCAGTTGACAAAGGACTTGACAATGAAACCTCATAAGGGTAACAAATGGGATTGGAGCGGAGGAGAAATCTTTGTTCAACATGATAGCCTCTGCTCTTTCACGCTGAGTGAAGACATTGAGGGCATCGGGAAGTCTGGTGAGACATTGCAAGGGCTCAAACTGGACATCCAAAACCCCCCAGAAGTTCGATAGTACATTGGTGAGCTCTTTATGTGGGTAGGCTGTGAAGAGGTAGGTAGCTAAGTAAGTAAGTAGCAAGCTAGAACCTACTCTATATATAGTAGGAGAGCCCTTCCCATAGTCAAACTGTTCCTCAATCTTGAGGGAAATAGCCCGCTTGCTTTCTTTGTGAAGCAGGAGTGCCTGGACGAGGGCACTGCCCAGACAATGACCAAAAAGGCTTCCATGGAGCACTCTGACACGGTAAAATGTCGAATTTTGATTCGTGGCGACGAGACTGAGGACAATCCCTTCAAGCAGAATGAAGGCGACCCCCCAGACCCTGAAAATGCACCACCTCCCAAGTTTGTGAAGGAAAAAGGAAAAGGAAAGGGAAAACATTCCAAGGGCAAGGGCAAGGGCAAGGGCAAAGGCTCCTACTCCTACCGCTATTGGGGAGGGGGAGCCAAAAACTCCTGGGAAAGCCAGCCAAGACAAGTACAATCCAAGCCGCGGTCGGCTTATTCAGAGTGGAAGCCAGCTCGACAGGTCACCTACAGACAGGACAGTAGAACCCAGACCGACAGATGGGCCAAGCCCAAGGAATCCTGGCAGTCACACAACAAGAAATGGGAGTCGAAAGACTCCAACTGGAGCAAGCCAGAGGCCAAGTGGACCAAGCCGGAACCAAAATGGTCAAAGCAAGAGCCCAAATGGTCCAAGGCAGAAGACAAATGGTCCAAGGCAGAAGACAAATGGTCCAAGCCAGAGACGAAATGGTCTAGCAAGACTGGAAATGAGAAATGGAATTCAAAGTGGGAGAAGAATGATGCGAAACAGGACTCAAAACAGGAAAAGTGGAGTTCGAACTCCAAGCCCAAGTGGGAGGCATGGGAAGGCCAGAAGAAGCAGCCCGAGCGAAAATCTGATTGGGAATCCAAGACATGGAAGGATGACAGTTGGAAGCGCTGGTTGCACGAGGAGACTGGCAAGGGCAAGGCCTCTAAAGGTTCCAAGACCGCTGGCCTGGCAGCACTCCCCAAGAGCGCAATTACAGAGGCCGAACGCAGCCAACGCTTTGGACAAGGTAAAGGCAAAGGACGGGAGGAGAAGGGAAAAGCAGGAAGGGACAGTGACTTGGTACAGATTGCAGCAACCTTTCCTTTGCGCATTTCTATTCCATTTTGCACAAATCTTCAGATCCATACAACCGTAATAATTTCTGGAGCTGCAGAGAGTTGTAGACGAGGTACAACAATCCAGCCAAGGGTAGCCTTCGGAAAGATAAGACCACTTGCTTCCGTTCTTGATATGCCCCGCTTCAACAGGGTTTAGGATGGTGTAGGGCACACTGCCATCATAGTGAGCATAATCCTGCGAGTGTAGGATCAGCATTTTAAAAGCGAAAGCTAGCGAGGCCACTCCGAGCCCTTCACAGCCTTCCGTGCACCTACCCGCGGCAGCGCTGCCACGATGACCAAGACTCAGAAACGGGAAACCTCTGCGCCTGTGGCTGCGGAGGCCAAGCGGCCGAGACTTGCAGGACGGGAGCATTAAATAATCACGAAAGCTGGCACCAGCTAGCTGGAGTTGTCCTTGCTTTAGCAAGTGAGGGGCTGGAATCCTGGAGATCGCTGCATCACGTGAAAACTTCATATGTAGAGGCCCCCCCCCCCCGGCGGGTTCAACGCCTCTGGGACACCTCTTGGACACCTCTTATGGCATCCACTTTGGTTCAACTCCTCCGTGGAGGTTTGGGATACGATGCAACAGATTCAACAGATTCACAAGCTAAGGTTGGCTGTGTCATTGTTGTTCGTGTGTCTTACATGACATGTTCACAACGTTTTACCTCATGAGCGAGACCTTGCGTCCCTCCAACAGCCCCATGCCTATGAAAAAGATTTGCCTCACTCCGCCTGATGTCCCACCAGTCCTTTGTCACTGGACGGCGCTGTATGCTTCGCCTCCACTGACACGGATGCATCCCTGCTAGCTTTCGTCACCTACCCTCGGCCTCAAGTACTAGTAGCGAACATTGCTCCTAGTAGTACGGCCAGGAGCCCCTAGTAGCGTCCTTGTTCCTAGCAGCGTGGATCATATGGTGGATCATGCATGAGTGGGAAGATCGTGTGCGCGAGAGAAGGAAGAACAATTGACTCTTCAGCGCCATGACAGGTTAGATTTTTCGAGTTTCCTGGGATTCCAGTCATGTCTGCAGGAGGCCGAGATTCCCTGCCACCTGGTTGGGAGAAACATTGGAGTGACCAGTACGCAACGCATTACTATTGGAATGAAAAGACGGGTGAATCCACCTGGGACGTGCCGAAGGCTTAGAACATCTTCAGCATGTCACATAGCTCACATAGCTAGGCTGGCTTGCCAGTTCAAGGGGCGACAGTCAAACAACGCATCCAAACTTCAATCTATGAAGACTTTGAGACGAAAAAACTGTGCGCAGCTGCATGTTCATGCCTTCGTGACGAGACATGACAAAGTGAAACATTTGTAGCCTTGTGCGTGGGTTGGCAAGCAGTAGCGGATCTCAGTAGCGGATCTCGACCCTCCTTCTCACCCCACAAGATGCCGTTTTAGTTCTGAGTTTCAATATGAAGTCACATGCATTTGGGTGAAGATGACCAGGTTCATGGTTGGTAATTAGAGAAAGAGTCTACTGATTGCTCACTCTATGTGCATGCGAAAACCACCTCTTCTCTCACGAAACGATCAGAAACCACAGACTCTGTGCACGTTTTCTCTCCAGGAGCAGGCAAAGAAGAAGCGACTCTCAGGTCTAGATGCCCATAAGGCACAGATTTTGTTTCTGCAGATGCCGATTCACTTCATAGATAGACAACATGTATACATTTGTGTACAATGGAAAACATATGCACACAATGCATCCAAACAGGCTATTCCATCGAGGAAGTCTCTTCGACATGGAGCCATCAGCAGTTCTCTTGCGAGGCCAACATCCTGGCCGCCAAGGCAGTTGCAGACTCGGCGCGGAGACCCCAGGGTTGGGGAACGCACAGGAAATCTATGTCAGCACTCTTGGGAGAAGGATAAGAAAAAAGGATACTTGGGCCCCTTCAATTGTATAGGTCTCCTTTAAGGGGGCCTTATTACATACTCTCGCACTGACGAAATTTAGCGCCCAAGGGGGCTTCCACGGCAGGGTCAGGTTCACACTATGCCCATTCAACACAGTTGATCGAAGGGCAAAGACCAAGTGGACGGGGACCTCCTTTCCGAATGCACCACACATGAGAATAAGGGCAGCAGTAGCATTTGCTGTTGCTTTTGTTCTTTAACTCAAGATGGAGCGGGGCGGCAACAATTGAACGCTTCTCGCAAATGGTGAAGCCATCTCTCAGGATGTTTGGGTATGATGGCAGTGTGGCCACGACAGTGGGCTCAAGATTGACTTTAAATTTCTGGTGCAAAACCAGAATGGCAAGTTCAAAATTGACATTGCGGATCCTTCTCCGAGTCGCCACTTAAGGTTTGAAGGTTGTTACAGAGGGAAAGGAACAGCCGAAAGTTGTGTTCTGACATCGCCCTATTGGTGTGCAGTGGTATGCCAAGGTGCAACTCAACGGACCATGTGTAGAGGTTTGAAGACACTTCCTGTGGCCAAGAAGGGCAAAAAGGGCAAAACGTCCGTGCACAGCGTCAGCTGCTGGGGATTTGACTTCCTATTTTACTTTGTTTCAGTATGGCCAGCAGAACAGTCGAGCAGTTCCACTTGGATCCAATCAGAACACGCGCTGGGAGCCATCCGATGTCAGGTGAGAAGCTCTATGGGGCCTCGAGGGATGGACAAGATGGTGGTTGGCCCTGATGGGGACTGATGGAGGGCGATGAAGTGAGTGCTGGAATGGTGAAATTCTCCTGTCAAGACAAAGTCAGTGCTGAACGAACCAAAACCAAATCAAATAATTACAACAACATGCCAACCATGCTTGGGTACATTGAATGAGGATGAATTCTTCCCTGGCGTTATACATTTTTGTTCAAAGTGCTGGTCTGAGGCACCACCGTACCATTGCGGCCCTATGTGAATTTCGATTTTGCTGAATCTGCGGCCAGTCAAGAATTTGTGCATTCATGCTTTCGTGGAAGAAATGGACACGTAATGTCCGGAATGTGTTCTGCCAGGGACCGGCACACGACGAACATAGACATAGAGAGAGGGGGGGCACCACTTCAAAATGGCTGGTGCGCTGGAGCTCGCATTTGATGCATGAAGCTTCCCGGAGGATGTCACTGTGACCAATGATGGTGCTACCATCCTAGAAAAGATGGACGTTAACCATCAGGCCATGGGGGAAGGGTTGTGCATGTGCAGCAACAGGCAAGTGCATTGGAACTTGCTCCCCGGGGTATTTGGAAGATCTTGCATATCAATAGTGTTGACTCAGTTTGTGATATAATATAGACATGGATGTAGAATGTAGACAAAACAATTGGGTTGAAGCTAAGGCCTGAAAGATTCACAAACACCATTGAAACAAATAGCAAGATAGCGGATCTATCTCTGTTTCAACACATACTATCTACTTCTGGCCTTCAACCTGCAGCATTCATAAGGAAAAAGAGGGGACGTCTTGGCGAGAATTAACTTGGGTCCCAGTAGAGCTTGCTCCTCACGTGCCTCTTTCATCCTTTATCTGGTGGCCGTATACATGTGGGTATGGCATTTGCCAGAGTGGAAGATAGCAATGCACTTGTTACTAATAGCTTCTTGTTACTAGTAGTAAGGCACTTGTTACTAGTAGCGATGCACTTGTTGCAAATAGCTTCAGCTGTGGTTCAGATCCGATGAACGGACCACATCCACAGTGCATTTTGCCTCAGATTGCCAAGCTGCTTGTCGAACTCTCCAAGTCGCAGGAGGGACTCTGCATTCTGACTCTGAAGGCATTGACAATAAGATATGGAGCGCTGTTTGTGTTAAGGTTTTCAAAGCTATTGGCAAATTGACATGGCCAACTATATAAAGGGTCATGGTGAGCAAGTCATGGATTTTTTCCAAGCCTGAGACTGGCTGCGTGACCCGCCTGGCCCAGGACCATGAGATCGGTGATGGCACCACTGGCGTGGTGGTCATGGCTGGTGCCCTGCTGGAGAAGGCCGAGCGTGGAGGGGTATTTATTTTTGGAATATTTTTTTTGTTTTTTTTTTGTTTTTCGTGGCTTCTGGCTTCTGGCTTCTGTGGCTTCTGGCTTTTGTGGCTTTTGGCTTCTGTGGCTTCTGGCTTTTGTGGCTTTTGGCTTCTGTGGCTTCTGGCTTTTGTGGCTTTTGGCTTTCGTGGCTTTCGTGGCTTCTGTGGCTTTTGGCTTTTGTGGCTTTTGGCTTTTTGGCCTATCCATCTATCTGTCTAGTCTATACCTATCTATTTATCTATCTATCTATCTTTCTTTCTTTCTTTTGGCAGCTGTTCTCCTTTCTCTTTTTGTATTTGTTTTTCCTGTTGTTTTCGTTGCAGAGACGAAACCAAACAAGGAAGCAAGGAAGCAAGCAAGCAAGCAAGCAAGCAAGCA